TGGCGTCACCCTTTCGAAAGTCTCACGCTAGTGTTTTTATTATCTGAAAGCTGCTTCTGACTCTGTCGATCGTCCAAAACTTTGGCGGTGTCTGGAAATGTAGAATGTTGCTTTCAAATGGTCCAAGTATTTAGGGCGTCAGTTTACTGTCCGGAAGGTCCGTGGTTCGAACCCTACTTCTCTCTCTCGACTTCCTCCCTTTAGGCTTGGGCAACCTGGTAATATCCCGGCCCTCGTGCTTCCTTCTGTTTGTATGACAGTTGGGCACTGAAAGTGTTACAGCTGTACGATTATTTTTATTATTGACATGAATCAGCCGGCCAAGTCATTCAACAACCCTCTTGACTGTCTCACAGCATCCAACTGGAGGCCACATGGGGAGGGGGCGCAGACAACCAATCGTTCGTGTCTCCACATTTTGCATTTCACTAACCAATCTTCGCATCGTATTTCATTTTTCGCTCCTATTTTAATCATTAGATATGTACTGACCTGATGACGAGATCCCGATAACATTAGTGTTCGTCACTGTGTTATTTTTCAAACCATGGGGATATTTAAGCTATTATTTATATCCCTTATAAGGGTTGTGTGTACGAACTCCTGTGGACTGCTACTGGTATACAATAAGCCTTTGCCTGAGTTCACCACGTCTATTGGTGTAAGACAAGGCTGTCCTCTTTCCTCTTCAGTTTTGTTGTTGAAATGCTGCTTGAAATTTCTCCGTCTGCCTCTGGAACCTGGTCGAAGTGCTCCCGGGGCGTTGCTATACAGACATTGCTTATGCGGACGGTATTGTTCTCCTTAGTTCGGATCCTTCAAAAATGCAAACCATCTCAAATAGTTTAAATAATTCTGCCGTACGGTAGGCATCGATTCACACCTGCAAACTGTAAAGTACTGCTGCAGGACTGGGTGGGATCAAACCCGAGTCTCATGCTTGCAGAAGAGTCAATCGACGTAGCGGATAAATTTGATTGCCTGCGAAGTTGTGCAAGTTCGGGTAAACTGGTTTGTGAGGAGATTACTTCTCGGATCGGGAAAATCAAGGCAGATTTTGTCAGCATCCGGCACCTATAGCGCCCTCGTGACGTGAGTTTGTCTGTCAAGTTGCAGAGTTTACTCTGTGGCAATGCGACCCATACTGCTTTGTGGATCAGAGAGGTGGTCTCTAGTAGAGGACACACGAAAGATGGTGTTGTTTGATCATCGATTTCTCCGAACCACTGTTCGGGTCTGGTGGGAACGTTGAAATAATAATGCGGAGGTATGCTAGGTGGTCCTTGGAAGGATGATCTTTCCCGTTTCATAGGTTACTCTGGTGGGGATTGTACTTCGCATACTAGAAGACCGTTTGCTTCACAGAGCTCTTTTCGTCCATCCTTGTGCTGAATGGGATCGGCCTCGAGGTCGACAGCTGCCGCCTCCCTGGATAGGTACTCGGACTCAACTCACCAATGGTTGGTGACACTGGCAGAAATTGCCCAGTCGCGCAAGCAGCGGTGCTTTTGCATCAAAGTCATCGCTTTCTACACGTAGCTGCTCAGTTTCCGAACTAACGCTACATGCCATCGCCTCCAAGGGTCCGCTGTATGTCCCACACCCTCCCACTTCCGGGTAACCAAAACTGCATCAGCTGGAACCAATCTGCCTATGGTACATGGTTTATAGGTAATAAATTTAAAATTAAGTTGAACATACACCACAAATATTTCCCAAGTATTTCGTGTACAGATCCGCAGTTGGCCTGCCCTAACACTGGACATCCCGGGATGCCAAGCCTACAACGTTCCTAGAAGTGAATATCTTTAGCCACCAAAGTACGGACCAAATTCATTATTTCCAGATACCCATGGACAACCGTGTCAATGCGAAAGATGAAGATTCCACTACCTTTGAGTAACGCTAAGGTAAGCTCATCGGGCCTGGTATTCCGATATCGTCTGAAGACAGAAAAACGAATTAGTACCTCAAAGACTGATATGGGATATATACTCGTAGGTGTCGTCCAAAATGAGCGGATTGAATGGAACATAGATAGATGGACAAGGGGTCAGTTGAACTGTTGAAAATATTTGGCGCAGCACTCTAGACGCTGGATGTCATACTTTGAGTTTCTTTTATTATTTTCGGTTAACTCACGGAGGGTCTGTTATGTTCCAGTTTGCGAGTTGACTTGAACTTCTTTCGTAAATTCCTAACCACATGGACCTCTTCCGTTTGTGGAAGTTCTTGGTTCCACCATGCCTCCATCCACATAGGCTACGTTTGAATTTTTGTATGGCCTCTTGTCCAGCCTAATTGTCCTCTGAACGAGAAGGGACGGAAAGCTTTGAGTCAGTGTGTGATATTGACCGTTCTGTGATTCCTTGGCGTCAGCGTACGTGTATCGAAACATTACAAACAGAGTTCCTGGCTTGACGTATTGCCGTGATCATCTCATTTTATTTACGGTGGATGTTTTCTGAGGAGGCCGCCTGTGATGCATTGCGTAGCAACCTTTGATGTGTTTCTCTCACTTATGGCTCGCAAAGCTTTTCTGCTGCTAAATGGGACTTATCCGACAGATTTGATGAAAATCTGAAGCAGCACGTGTATTCTGAAACGACCGGCAATGTGAGCCTCGTCAGCCCTGGCTGCAAGACCGCTCGGAGCGGGGTGACGTCGAATAGAGCGACGGCCCTCGTTCCTTCCGAACCCAATGCTGCTGAGAGGTAACTGAATTCGTACACGACACTTATCCTCAGTATTGCGTTTTGCATCTAGACTAAACATACCAATAAAGTATGCTTCTGATGAATTGAGACGTCCTATCAGTGCATTGAAATATCCTGCCATTGTGACTATCCGAGCTCTTCGTGATAGTCAACAGGTTAGTCAGTTCTCGATAGCATCAGATAAACACTGCTACAGTTCGTTGTTGCATACATGACCACCACGAAAAAGTTCGGTATTTGGAACGTTGCTAGTTCCTCTGGATATCCAGCCGACTAATGAAGACTCATCTCGTAAACTGAGACTATCAAAACATTCGCAACTCACTGTATCGTTTCAGGGCCATCCGAAGCTCGTAATCGGCAACGTCTAGGTAAAGCACCATGAGTACGTGAGAACAAAGCACGCATTAGGTGGCGAATAAAGATTAGCAAAATTTTCAATAAATTGATGGGGGTTTCTCACTTACCACTACTTAAATATTGAGCGAATTCAAAAAACGACATCATCTTGCATGCCCTAACTTTGACCGGGATCTCTTACTCGGAGCTGTCCTATTCCGATTTTGTTTGGCTTGTTTCTCACAGCATGGTCAAGGCAAGGCAAATATACATGGTACCAGTAGTTGTGAGTGGTGTATCGATTCTTTAGCTGCTTGACAGGTGCTTACACCAGAGATCTACATAGGGTTAGTTTCAAGCGAGACGAAAGGGGATGTACTGGATAATGCTGAAGAAATATGGGAGGCGTCAGCAATCGCATATTTTCTCGTATGCACTCTGGGACGAGATCGCCCAAGTGGTTAGATCGCGAATTTACTGACCGGAAGGTCCGTGGTTCGAATCCAACCTCTGTCACTCGATTTCCCCTGTCTAGGCCTGGGCGACCTGGCAATATCCCAGCCCTCGTGCTTCCTCCGGGTGGCATGGCAGCTAGGCACCGGAAGGGTTTTACAGCTGAACTATCTTCTTTCCGTATGCACTCTTGTTATGTAAGCTAAATGTATGGAAGCATCATCATGTTGCTTGTTAAGATTTCAGGCCAGAATGTTGTCTAACCTATTGCCGTATACTGTCACCAACCTTTATCATTTGGTTTCACAGACTAACTTTTTCAATTAACAATCATAGCTTTTCAAAATGTAACTACAAAAGCTTCATCTGTTTCAAGGCTGTTGCGAATTTCACATGTCATTTCACTGGCAGTCTATCGTAATCCTGTAAGTCCAACTTCTCATTGTCGGAACTCATTATCTTATACTGGTCCTGGGAATAACGTGCTGTGTGCCACGTCCCATCCTCATCTCGATAAGATTTGTTTAATACCGAACCGTCATTCGCCCCGCTGAATCTGGGTTGTGGAGACAAATGCAACAGTCTTCACACTTGGTAGATACCTTACTTGGTTTAGCTTTGTGGCGACTTAAATGTCCACGCTGTATGTGCAAGCTGTTTCTCATGGACAACCTCCTGGTACAATATCTAATGTCTGACCTACTCATATGGTTTGCAGACCTCAAACACCCATACTTTTGGTGGTCTTTCTTTATTTCAAAATACTATTTATCTGGATGAATGTTTGTTTCGGATTGAAATTGGACGGCCAGGAACCGTGTGCCTTCCTTGATCTGAAATGGCCATTCACTTGGTTCGTTTGGCGTCATTCACGAGCTCGATATCTTTTGCCGTTGGCCTTATCAACTTTGCTCCTTGCATGATATACGTTAGTAGGCTTATCTCAAAACTTCGTTTGGTGATACAGCTATGATGGCGTAAAATGGGAGTGACCTTACTGGCATTTGGTATCACCTGACCACGTCCCTGTTTTAACTCTATTTTACTCTTGGCTGGCAAAGTAGCTGGCACACTGAAGCGGAATAGTGTTGTTTTTATCATACTTGTCTGACTATTTCTTACGTTGTAACCGAAATTCCTTTTGCGAAGAAATGGAATGGATTTCGGGAAGTCACAACCATGACTATCTAGCATAGCCTTGGGATCAGGAATCAAACAACTCTTTAAGCCCCACCACCGCATAAGGTAGCAGATATTTCAGGACACACCTTTTTGATAGGCATGATAAGCCAGCTGAGAGAACCCAAGGCTCCTGGACCTTGTGATTGTTCTAGTTTTCACCGCTTTTCTAGAAGAAGTCGCATAAGCCAGTGTTTAAAAGCATGTGCTCACCGAATTCCCTTTCACCTCGAGTTCGAGCTTCTTTTTTCGCTGAGCTGTCTTCTGCGAACCAACAGAATTACCAAATGTTTTATTTTCGTCTTCCTCCAGATTTGAGACTGGCATTAGTGGCCATCTACAACAAGCATTTAGCTGACCGACATTGGCGTCACAGAATTGCTCGGGAACATGGCTTAATACCTTTGTTGGTTCGTCATCTCGTGGAACCCCATCGCCGTATGAACCATTATCGCTACCGTCCGACTGGCCGCTTCCGAGTTTACGGTGGCCTTGTTCATCGCAAACGCAGAGCTGGTGTCTCGTTCACATCAAGATGTAGGCGAAAGAGTTCCAGGAGGCTTGTACCAAGCGGCAGTTCTCGTTTTCACCGTCAGTTAAAGTTTTTGACACAATTGCCCGAACTTAGTGAACACCCGTTTGTTGACTATTCTGGTCCCCATCGATTACTCACGTGCGACCACGTGCAATCAAACTGTTCACCGATCAATACTTCCCTTTGCACTTCCTGTTCGGATTCGCGTGTATTACACGTACCTTTTACCTGTTCTACTAATGAGCCGTGCACGGCGGCACAACAAAGCACCACTGCGCTGCAGAATTCACTTCCTGAATCGGACAGGTTTCAGCCGGGGGTCTTCACGTCCAGTAAATCCATGGGAGCCAGTCTTGGCTCGTACAATCGATTTAAAAAAATGAGTCCAAATATGTCAAGCAAATCCAATGGCGATGCACTATGTTTTTCGTCATTCTCGCGTTGTTTGGGTGTTTCGTCACACACTACTTCTGACTCTGGTGTTGGATCTTGTGACTCGTGTGCTCAGTCTACTATATCTACCGGTAGTATGAATGGAGATCCGTTCACATACGCATGCTCTTCTGGAACGCCCACAACGCGGCTTCCTCTCGGTCGGCGTCCTCGGAGCAATTCTGATTCGGTTTATGTATCTGGTCCATTGTTTCCTGGTCGAAAAAGATCTTCGGAACTCCTTGCTAATTTACAGGAATTACGTCATCAGAGCGAGAGCACTCCCAGTTTAGTCCACCCAGTCGAACCTCCACCATGGGTCACTGAGGATAAACTTTCGGGATCTCTGAACGCTGTTGCACAAGCAGCTGGTCCCTCCAGTCAGATTGCTTCTAAAAGTACAGTAAAACGACGCGGTCGTCCATCACGGAGACAACCCAAACGTCCTTTTCGACCTTCCTCAGTGTCGAAACTCGGTAACACGACTTCCGACGAGTAAGTTTATTACCACGTATCTTGGACACAGACCACATGACCCTTTTGGTGTTTCAGTCGGTTGTTCTAGTAGTCAGTTGGTATCCTAATGAACTATGCTGCTGATATCTTGATATGTCGAAAGGGATGGTGTTGATGGTGAAACGATGAGGCGGTAGTGTGTCACAGCAGAGCAATTACCCAAGGGAACAGTCAGTTGTGGTTAGCTCCGCCACAGTAACTTGTTTCAGTTGTGTGAAACTGTTATGCTGCGAGGTAATTAACAATCAAATCTCTGGAAGCCTTATAGATCTTTTGAGTTACCACCTGCCATTGCATGTTCTACCGAATGGATGATTTATTCGAACTTCCTTTTAACAGTTATGTGTCGGACGTCATGTCCCGGGGCCAAGATGGCCCAGTGGTTAAAGCGCTAAAGCTTTTGATGTCTTATTTTTCACCAATAATTCTGCTTCACCATGTTTCTGTAGGGCGTCCAGCGTTGCCACATTTTTCGAGGAATAACCTAGGAGAGCTACGGCTTCCCCCAGCACTTTTGTCAGACGAAACTTGTCCCTTAAGCCAGATACCAAGCAGTTTTATGTTCTAGTTAAGCGGGCAAAGTATGTATCCTCTATTTTTTCCGAATTTGATTTCTGGTCTGTTAGGCGTTCGGAAACATCCTAAGAGCTCTCCACAGTACGAGCATTTGTACTAGGTTGTGTACGTCAGTTTCGGCTTGTCTTTGGAATGTCCACGAGATTGATAGCTGTCCTATGAGGTGTGGTAAATACCGCTAACCCAAATGTATGCACGCAACAGTACTGAACTGTCCATATCAGTGACTATAGATAAGTCATATCGGGCGTGATCGATCTATTTGCAGCCGCTGCTGTCGTTACCGTACATGCCCGACTGCAATCAATCTTATCAATTTAGGAAGCTAATATGCTTCGAAAAATTGCTTTACTCAGGCTCCGAAATTGTCGTGAACGTTTTGAAAAAAGGATGATTTCAATGAAAGTGATGTGGTTGACATCTGGCAAACATTACAGACGTTCATCTATAAACACTTGAGCGACTTCGACATTTTTTTCTTGTGAGATTTACATGATGCAGCGTGACCAAACCAGCTAGTTCGGCTCGTCGATTTCCATATACCGGGTGATCGGTCGCCTTATCGCTACTTTTTTGTTCTTGTGACTGGAGGAATGTGCAGCGTAGACAAACCATGACCTGGATATGGTATGAGAAGCTTTGTAACAGGTTTTGGTGTTTTCGGTTAATGCGGCCCGCCAAGTTTGGTCATCAGTGGGTTGTCTTTGTCACTGACTTGGCGTAGTCCCGTAATCATTGACGCCTACCTTTTAATCCGCTGTTTGCTCTGACCCTTGATTAATTTACTCCGTCGATAACTAGCTTTTGTAGAAACCCGAACCGACGTATGCTTGCACATGGTTCGTCGGCGCAAAACTAGGATGATTGTGGCCAGTTAGACTATTCTCTGTTTGACTGAGTGTCTCCCAACAAAAGATAGTATCCGGAACAATTTCCTAATAATAATAGTTATAATAATGGTTCAACCGTAACACCTTTGGCGCACAGTTGCCATACCACCCGGAGGAAGCATGAGAGCAGATACTGTCAGGTTACCCAAGCCCAGACAGGAGCAGCCGAGGTTGGGTTCGAACTCATCATCATTATCACCAACATCATCATCAAAACAGCAACATCAGTGCTGGCACTGATGCTTCACTGCCGTACAACCATAAGGTTCTTCTAGTTATATATATATATATATATATATATATATATAAAGCCCTAGTGTGAAAAGAAGAGAAAAATGGTGGGTGAGGGAGGGGACCTGGTTCTGGTCTATGTCAAGCATTCTGAGGTGCCTACACCTCCAAGCGCTCAATCAGACATTCTGGGAAGAAACTGATAACACGAACGCCACTAACATCGATTAGCCGCCATTTCTTGCAACGTCTCTAGCCAAGCACAGACGGGTCACCGGGACCCCATCCTGGTAGGCGACAACACCAACAACACCCAAACTCTTCGTGATCCCTTTCACGCCTTTCTGTCACGTCGTGCGCTGTCCACCTCGTGGTTTGTGCCATTCTGAAGGAGGCACGGAGAACAACATTCGTCTCGGTAGACGGTGTTTCGGTATGCGTAGCACATGACAGCCATCGCAGTGGATGGTGCTGGATGTTTTCCGGGATTTAAGCAGCACAACCAAGTACCCGTTTTCTAATTACGTCGTTACTAACACACTGACGCCACCCAAAACCGGCCACGCTTCTGGGGCATCGGTGATCGAAAACCTGAAGATACCTCATCATCTGTCCGCAGAGGCCACGTCTCGGACCCATACGGACCTTCCGATCAGTAAGTTCGCGCCTAATCCACTGTACTATCTCGAATTCACAATGTGTTTCTATTCGGAGTCATTCAGTCGAAGCGCAAAACGCAATGGTTTATGTCTGGTCTGGGATAGGTGGGCCGTAGGCCACGGTGATACGATTCGCGGTCCAGACTGTGATCGCCCTTTCCTGTAATTTTCAAGCCAGGCGTTTTTGAGAATTCGGGTATTTTCGGTTAGTTATATGTGTTTATATCGGATGGCTTCTGAATCACAAAACAGTGGAGCACATTTTCCACGATCAGTGTTTGGTTGTTGATCCATCGAAACTTATTGAAACGCCCTATTTCGTTACTCCGTTTTCGCTCCAGATATCCTACCTGGATGAAGCCTTTCCTGCGTTTTATGTCTCATCAGGAAGCGAGACGATATCAATGGTTAGAGACATTGTCAGACATGGCCCAGTCGCACCCTCAATGGCGCTCATGCATCCAAGCTATTGTCTTCAATGCATAACTCCCTTCCCAATCTCCCCACTTAATAGTTCACCTACGGTGCTGCACTTGCGCACTAATTTATCAGCTCCCGCCTCCGATGCACAGCCGCCTGCCCCATCTCCCCAAATCACCGTTGGACGAAATTGTGGCTACAGCCACTACGACAAGTACGCGGTTCTTACAGCGGATATTGATGATATCCCCTTTCCCAATTTGCTTTATTAAGGCTGTCTCCTGCAGAAGGACGAGGAGGCTCAAAGCCTGTCGTGGATACACCGTTATCTTGATGTTTTATCGAAGTGTGGTGTTATTGGCCTTCCCTCTTGGTCAAATTTAGCCACAGCGCACTGAAGGTCTCTCCTCGAATGGTGACGAAACGTTCTTAAATCCATTGTCAAACTCGGCGAACAAATCAACAGCTACCTGATCAAGTACAATTCTAACTGTTTTTTTTGCCTTATCTTATTCGAGGAGGCATTCCAAAAGAAGCGGTCGGCTGATGATCAGCATTTGGTCTGTTATCCGACCTTGTCAATTAACTTGCGAACGTCTTGTTGACATACGAGGAGAGATCGTTATTGCGCGCCCCGAGTTACCAATATGTGGACACATTTTCACAGGGACCAGTGTTTATCCGCTGTATCTCTAATGGTGGTGGGTCATGGGTCTCAGACTACTTGTCGTTTAGTTTCGTCTCACGCTGCTTCGGTTTACTTTGTCAAACGACCCAGCTATTTATTTGCTGGATCAACGGCTGATAATTAAATTTGTAGCTCCCTTTTATGTAACAGATTCAGCCGCGTGTTATTCCTCTTACATGGGCACGTTCAAATCCAGTCAGTCTTCATCCGAAAGCCTTATTCACACGAACCTACTTTCTTTTGGGATTTAAAATTTCGTTTTGGTTACTTCGTAGTGGCTTGCGTCATTTTCGGCGGACCGACCCATTCTTCACTTCTTTTTTTACACCATCTGTATTGAAAAGCCCTCAATAAAATGGAACGCCAAAATGATTCAACTTCCCACAAGTAGGTATTTCTGATAAGGGTCATTACTGAGCAAATTGAAAGTCATGGTTGAAGAACACCAAAGGTGTCGTCTCAGTGCCTTTATCGCATGTAGTCTTCAGCGGCCGCATTTCTGTATAGCAGTCGTAGCTCAGACCAGGGTAATTTCAATGATGCGTCCCAAGTTTTGCGTGAAATCAGCCCACACTTGTTGGGGATGCCCCGCATTATGGGAAAACAAAAGGTAGATGGATAATAAAGCAGATGGTCTGTCTATTATATGTGAAAACTATTGTTGCTTGCATTCCCGAGGTCTCAATCTGTTCAACCCACTGTACGTATCCTTAATCAATGGACATGAGTGCCTTCACAAATATTTACGGCACATTGGCTGTCCGAAACGCAGGTTGGTCAGATGAAAGTTCGAGAAACTACTCTTGTACCAGAGCGGATGGTTCCTTTCAAGGTGATATATTGCCTTCAAAACTAACTCCGCCTTATAAGAACAAGATAAACAGACAACGATCAGCTTCCCGCTTGTGAGATTCCTTCGACGTTGCCAGGTGAGGTGCATAGAGGTGGCTATCAGTGAGTATCTACTCAAGTAGGGATGTTTCCACCCGGTGACTTCGGACTATACCAACCCCTGTACATCTTGCCGCCGAGGCCTCCGGGTTGCCAGAAGTGGGCAGCCGGAAGGAGTAGAGATTGACGGGATAGTTATTTAGATGACTGTGCTTTCACCTTGAATTCTTGTTTCTGATCCACAGTACACATCAGTTTCAAGTGAGCCCAGTGTAAGAGCGAGAGAAACTTGTTCTGCTTGCTTCAGGGCGTGGTCAGGTAGACCGAGCGCCTAGGCTTAAAGATTGATTTCGGATCGCACGAGGTTTTCGGCGCCGGCTGACACGCAGATGTTGTGGTCGTACAGGATGAGCGGGATCGCCAGTCCTACAAGTAGGGTACTATTAATGGGGTGGGGTAGGTGTGAAAAAAAGTCAGGAGCAGAAAGGAAGGAGGCACTAGAAGTAGCGTGTTTTCGCCTGCCTGCCCTGCTACATGCAGCAAGCATCTGGTAGCACCGCAATATGGCCAATGTGATGTGTAGAATCCGTCGTAGTATGTGGGCTGGGATACTGTCATGGTGGCCAAACCTGGTTAGGTGGATGATTAGGGTCCTGAGCTCAAGCTTTTGAATCAAAATCCCAACCGCAAGCTGTTGGGGGGAAACGTCTGCACTGTTTTTCTAACGGACGAGTTACCATATTTTTAAGCCCCAACTCGATGGATGTGGATACTGTGTTGGTCAGAACTCTAATCGTTGAACAATCTGGTATGAGAGATGGGGCGTGATGGCTTAGTGGTTAGAGTGCGAATTTACTGATCGGAAGGTCCGTGGTTCGAACCCGCCCTCTGCCTGTTGACTTCTTTCTAGGTTTGAGCAATCTGACAGTATCCCAGCCCTCGTGCTTCTTTCTGGTGGCATAGCAGTTAGGCACCGAAAGGGTTCTACAGCTGGACGATCGACTTGGTATAAGAGAATAGGTGCCACAGGAACAACCTCCCCCCCGCAACATAGATCTTCGTGTTACAAACGTATTCAAACCGCCACATCATGGTAAGATTCAGTCTCTTCGTGACGGATCTATCCATGGTATCTTACAGATGGACCGTCTTCAGTCGTTGCTGACGTAACCGAATCCCGGTACTAAAATGTTCACAGTATGCTCTCCTTGAGACCTGTTACGCGCAATGTACGCCATGGTTCAAAGCCACGTGCAAGGGGGCTTGTATGGATTCCAAACACGAAGCTGCGGAGCTCTTTAGAGCCTTATTAGATCTATTTCACTTCACTATCGTCCTTTATACTATCCTAAAAACAAGGAAACAGTAAATCAGCGGGAAGTGAACTCTTTCCTAAAAATTAACGTTTACAGGGACGAGTTAGTTTCAGATCGGTAACCACTGTCTGACAACAACACTGGTGAATTTCCGCTATCCATTTCCCCAACCTCGTCTCTTGTGCCATCGATAGGCGTCTACTCTGTAGAGTAAGGAGTAAACATAGTTGGCTTACAATGAACGGATAACTTTGTTGTCCTCTTCTGGCTAAGTTACAGCTTCTGAATGTGATGTCACCTTATGCTCTTTGATTCTGAGCGTTATCCGGTAGGTTCGGCTCAGTAGCTTCTTTGATTGGTGGCTATTTTTGTCTTGGTATTTTCCTGTTGCTACTTTCCTGATGATGACACTGAGGTAACTATGGTGCTGCTTTCTTCGCTTCTGACCAGGCGAATCAACACTGCGTTCCGAATTGGAGCAACTCAGGGATCATCATCGAAAAGGCGTGCGCTCCATGACAAGTAAGTTTGGACCAATCTTCAGTATTTTCGTTCTATGCAACGTTTTGCCTCTCGAAAGTGAACGATATGGCACTATAGTTTTCTTGGCAAGCGACTGTGCTGGCCTGCATGTTTTACACTTGACCTCTTTAATTCCGCACAAAAGACCATCATCTCCACTCCCGTGTTCTTATTACTCACGTTTCAGGATAAAGGTTCGCCTCCATACTCGATGATTTCGTATGTTGGCTCTTTTCCGTCCAGCATTATGGGTTTTAATTAGTTCATACACCGGGGTACTTCTTGCACACCATACGATGTCAGCAGTAGATGATAATTTGTGTTGAACGGTACCGCTCCGGCCACCTTTTTTCCAACCACAATACCCCTAAGTTTGGTGACGAAGGAACAAACGTAAAACTCCATGTTGCTTAGTGAAAACTTAAATTAGTTTCCAAAAGGGAGCTGGTCAGTTAACACTGATCCAGTAGTGTTGTTTCGAGAGAAATATTTCAATATCTTGAGGACCATTCCGGCTGAAACGTAAGGCGGGTTTTGTGCATCAAATTTGGTTGAAAAATAGCTTAAATGAGATATCAAGCTGTCAGTTGAGCCTCTCGCTACCATAATTTGTGAACTAATTAGCTCTACGCTTCACTTCTTTTAGTCGTAATAACCCTACTGCATCTTGCTCGAAATTACGGGTTTGTGGATTCACTCACAAAAGTTGGAATATCTGTAGTTTTCTGAGCTTAGGTAGACTGGCAAGTTCTGCGTTGAGAAGAGGTCACGAGAGAAATTCCGCTCACTGTGTAGAGACGGTAATTGACGGTCTTGCTAAAACTCACTGGTGACAGGTTTCGCTCATATTGAGTCTCTTCAGGCCGTTGCAATTGGTCACGCGACGCTTGCTAAGTTTCTATTCTCCAACGCAACACTGCGCGACTGGCCACCAAGCTGGTGTGGTGTATCGTTGGGGTTCAGTGGGCCAACACAATCAGATAGGTTACTGGTCATCATTCTTGATGTCGGACTAACCAGTAACCACTCTAAATGCTAACAAACCTCTCTCATGTGCGTCTGACTACCATGGCAGATGTCCCAAGTTTGAATCCTGGCCTGCACAGGTATGTTGGTGCACTACTGTTATCCCTTGGAAGAGGAAAACTCGCCGGTTTATTGATGTAGGACAGAATAGTCGTGCCAAAACATGGGATAAATTGTTCGAATGACATTGAGCGACTGGTTCAAAAGATGCTTCGGGATTTGAAAACAGAGCTATAGTCTTTTTCTTGTAAAGATTCGTTTAGTGTCTTGTAGACCCGGTTCTACTGATTAATGCTTACTGCAGCAATATGCTCCCAATTAACAAAACCTGTAAAGTAAATAGTCCTCTTGCCAAAACGCATCCGAACAAATTAAAAACGTCTTGTATGTGAGTATTCCTTGTGCGAACTAATCCCAGGAAAGAGATAAAAGAGATAAATGAATCCAAAATAAATTTCCTTACCTTCGGTAAATCCATTTACAATCAGTTTCATGCAAAGAAAGGATGAAATGAGTGGTCGGTTATAACCGCGTTTGTG